GAAAGAACTGCTAAAATCAAGCTCTTACTTTCGTGAATATTAGCTATTCAATAAGCTAATTGTGCACATCCTCGCATCTGACTCTGAATACGAGAGTCTATGAGCTTGTGCAGGCTCCCATCTATATTACGACAGGTCAAACGTTAATGCAGGGGAGAATGACGCAGAAGATTGAACGATACTGCAGTAAAAATATCGAATTCGACGACAAACTTTAACACAGATAGAAAACTATTTGCCCATTGTCTGTAGACTGAATGTCAGCGACATTCATAAAGCAAGACTAATTATCTTGTGTAGGCAGCCCTATTGAGAGAACTTCCGAAAACGCAATGAGCTGATTACTTGTGAGAGTGCTGGCCTTATTCAGCATCGTAATTTTGCGAACGGTTACGAAAGACATCATTTTTCTCCTATCCTGACGTTCAAAATCATCAAGCTCTACAATGCTATCGAAAGTGTTGGATAAATGCGTCACTACCTTCAATTTATTTGAACTTAAGCTATAGATTAAGGCATGCTGTCAGTTCTTGGGTTCTGTGTATATTATTTAGGTCCCTGTGTTATTTGAAAGCCGGTATGCGAAGGGTCCCAAACAACAATGCAGATGTGCTTTGTAGGGGATAAACGGTGCAAATCACGTAGTTAGGATTCTCAATAACCTGCAGTAATTGTTGTTTCGTATTACTGCATAATCGGCATCCTGTGTGCAATCGACGAAATAACCGCGTCCAAAACTTGCACTTATGTATAAAAACGACGCGTCTTTCAATAGTGCATATACTGAGTGCAACTACAAGATGAAATAGTTCTAGTAAATAGTTCATACGAAGGCAATGGAAAGCAGTTGGTTCGGAATCGGCTCTACAATCATTCTATGTAGCAGAGCAAGCACAGTGTGCCCGCATTAGATTGAGGAAATTGTACAAAACAAATAGTGTATCATAATGAACATTACACTGTAATACATAATACAATTGGAAACTGCGGAGCGCTAAGCGTTTCCATTGAAAAAACCTTTTGAGTACAAGGCTTAGGAGCTTCACCTACCCATGGCAGGCATAGGAGCGAGTCTCAGAGTGGTACTGTTTTCAGTGCGATACATACTAACCTTTGCAAAGCCCCGAAAAAGCGAAGTGTTTTGAATCTCCCCAAAGAATCCAAAGTTAAATAAAGGGAATGAATACTTATCTGTTACAGTCGACTTTTTGTCACTTGTGTCGTTATGCGAGAGAATGTTGCCACGAACACTCACTTTTTCTCATATATGAGAATTATTTTGTAGGTCGCCCTCCGCCTTGACGACTTCTATGGTAGCGATGTTGAGAGAAAGTTGAAAACTAGGAGATAAAAGGAGGTATTTGACAGTGTAAGTTCACCGGTGACATTTTGAACCATTTTAAAACTATGAAGAAGACGAAGGCGTTGAAAGCAAGGTCTGCGACTGGGAGAAAGAGCACCTATAGGCAAATGGGACATAAAAATTAATTGTCGTCATTTTCTAAAACGCTTCTTAAAGTTGATCGAAAACGCTAATTCAATACTCTCAGCTTTGCGTAAACATTACAGAACTACAAGGAGTAAAACAGATAAAGTATCCATAACTCAGTAAGCCCTCGTGATGGTCTACCGTCTCATGTGGCGCGGGGGTGACTCTGGGTGTCGAACCGCGAAGTATAGCGGAGGTTTATCCTCCAGCAGGGTCTCCCAAGTTGAGAAGGAGTTCGACGTTTCTGGCTTCCCAGATGCCCAGCTAAGAGTAGGCCATGCCAGAAGCAGCACCTTCTGGCTGATTAAGTCACTAGTTGTTCCCTGATCCATATCAGTCAACCACTGCCTGTGGTGAAAGCTTGACGGGCCCTAGCAAGGCTGCTAAATCTGGGGATTTTTTTTACTGCTTGTACAGCATGTAATATGAAAAGAAGCCTTGCACAATAGATCACATTTCCGGCGTCGGATGTCATTAAGACCAGCGTTAGGTTGCACAGGAAGTCACGGATTCTGGAACAAAAGAAACGTCAACGACTGGCCATGAGAATTGTCTCATGCTCTGTACCTACAATGCCAGGACAGTCTCCACCAACGCCGATCTTTACGCCCTTCTCGAAACTGTGGGGCGCATAAACTCCA